AATTATACTTAATCCAGTCTCAATTTAAAGAAGATTTAACCATAAATGTAATCAGTAATGATATTGCAAACTTATTAAAAGAAATTAATGATCCAGAAATAAGGCAAAAAATAATAGAAAATTTAAATACCAAAGAACAGAGTATAAAAGAAGAAGGGATTTATTCAATGAAAAATGTACATGATATGTTAAAAGAAAGGAGAAATAAAAATTCTATTAATATACCTACAGTACATGATTTACAGGTTGAAATTCAATCTTTAAAACAGGATATATCTAAGATAAAAAATGATCAATTAGTAAACAATCAACGAATTAATAAATTAGAAAAACTACAAAATAACCAAGATATTGGTACTAGCAATAATACTGATAATAATTTTCTTCAGTCTATGGAACTAGTAATCTCTAGAAAATGGCATGTTACAAACAATTAATTTATTTATTACTTACAATTATCAAAGAAATTTTGTTGCCCTAATAGACAGCAGAGCAGATCTAAATTGCATACGAGAAGGATTAATACCTACTAAATATTTTCAAAAATCGACGCATACGTTAAGGGAAGTATCAGGTTCCAAATTGGATATTAGATATAAATTAACAGATGCAAAAATTTGCACAGAAAATGTTTGCATACCTATTATTTTCACAATAATTAAAAATATGACTAGTAATACAATGATTATAGGAAATCCTTTTTTGGAAATGATATTACCACTAACTATTGATAAGAATAAAATTATAGGATCTTATAAGAATCAACCTGTTATATTAAATTTTGTCTCTGACCCTTATTCTATCTGGGTAAATGAGTTGAATTTAAAGAAAAATCAAATAAATTTTCTTAAAGAAGAAATTAGGACTGTTCAGATAGATGAACAACTAGAACAACCTAAATTACACGAAAAAATTAAACTTCTAACAAACCAATTTTCCTTAAATATTTGTAATGATCATCCTAATGCTTTTTGGGAAAGGAAAAAACATATAGTTATGCTTCCCTATGAGGTAGATTTCAATGAAAAACAAATTCCTACCAAGGCAAGACCATGTCAAATGAATTTTGAATATTTAAATATATGTAAAAAAGAAATAACTTCCTTATTAGATAAAAAATTAATACAACCTTCTAAATCTCCATGGTCATGTACTGCGTTTTATGTTAACAAACATTCAGAACAAGAAAGAGGAGTACCGAGGCTAGTTATAAATTATAAGCCACTTAATAAGGTTTTAAAATGGATTAGATATCCTATTCCTAATAAAAAGGATTTATTAGATCGTTTACATGACTCTTTGATATTTTCAAAATTCGACTTAAAATCAGGATATTGGCAAATTCAGATTGATAACAAAGATAGATATAAGACTACCTTTAATGTTCCTTTTGGACAATACAAATGGAATGTTATGCCATTCGGCCTAAAAAATGCCCCTTCAGAATTTCAAAATATAATGAATGATATATTTAATCCTTATAGCAATTTTATTATTGTTTATATAGATGATATTTTAGTATTTTCGAAAAATATTCAAGATCATTTTAATCATTTGCATACTTTTGAAAAAATAATAATAAACAATGGTCTAGTAATATCACAATCTAAAATGTCTTTATTTCAAACAAAGGTAAGATTTTTAGGTCATAATATTGAAAAAGGACAAGTCATTCCTATACAAAGAAGTATAAGATTTTGCTGCAAAATTCCCAGATGAGATAAAAGATAAAACTCAGCTACAAAGATTTTTAGGTAGCCTGAATTATATATCACCTTTTTATAAAGATTTATCAACCGATAGTGCAATTCTGTATGACAGATTGAAAAAGAACCCTGGTGCTTGGACTGATAATCATACCCAAGCAGTCAAAAGAATAAAAAATAAAGTAAAAAATCTACCATGTTTATCTTTGGCTAATCCAAATTGGGAAAAAATAGTTGAAACAGATGCCTCTGAAATAGGTTTTGGAGGAATCTTGAAACAAATTCACCCTACTAATAGACAAGAATTCCTAGTTAGGTTTCATTCTGGAAAATGGACTCCTAGTCAAAAGAATTATTCTACTACCGCTAAAGAAATTTTGGCATTAGTAAAATGTATTCTTAAATTTCAAGATGATTTATATAATCAACATTTCATTATAAAAACAGATTGTCAAGCAGCTAAATTTATGTTTAATAAAGATTTTAAACATGATGTTTCCAAACAAATGTTTACTAGATGGCAAGCTACATTAGCATGTTTTGATTTCGAAATTCAATATAAAAAAGGAAGTGATAATAGTCTTCCAGATTTTTTAACTAGAGAATTTCTAAATGAGTCTCAACCATCTAAGACAATATCTCATGATATTATCGAAATAAAAAATTCAATTAAAGAGGCAGAAGTTGAATTAGCCAACTTAACAAATGAACCATATTTTAGAAAAACAGTAATTAAATTAAGACTGATTGGATTAAGAATTCAGCTCAAGAATCTTGAGAACAGACTTATATTACTCTTAAATTGACATTTTCAGGTAAAATTCTTATGGGTGACTCAAAATTACAAGTAAAGAATAATCTTCATTGTAAACATATCAGGGTCTTAGAATCGTTTATCAAACGAAATAAAAAGATAGACCAATAACAAGAATTGACATGCAACGATATAATATTATGATCAAATATCTTCATAAGAAAATCTCAGAAACCACATGCTAATTCGCAGGATGAATTCCAATCGTGGAAGAGGCCATCCTTCATACAGGGGTGGTTATAGAGGTCGAGGAAATCCTACGGCTTCAAACAGTTCTTATAGAACTGGAAATTCGTCACAAGCAAATGATCAGTCTCTTCCAGTTCCTGGAAGCCCATTATATGAGGAGTTTAAAGCATTTTTAGAATCAAAAGGGAAAATACTCCTAGTTTCGCCCAAATGATCACAGATGGTGAAACCATCAACGATAATTTTGAATACAAAGAATCATCTCATAAAGATAATATTATTATTTTAGAACATAAAGATATAATGCTTTATTTTGAAAACAATGATGATCCATGGTTTTTAATGACCAGATACTTGGATACAGCGACATACGCTGGATATTCTTAAAACAAAGATTATATTATGAGAATATTTGAAAATAACCGGATCAGTTGAATTTTCTCATTTTACATCCGGAGGTAATACCAGTGTTTACAATTTCAGCAAAGTCATTATCAAAAAGATCATATCACCTGAGGAATGGGGTTTAAGTACCCTCAAGGAAAAAGAGTTTATACTCCCTCCTTCGAAGATACCGATGAAATTTACATACTGGGATTATATTGAAAGTTTTCATAAAGCCTTCTTATATGAGAATCCTCAAAGGAAACATACTTGGTTCTTTAAAGTATGTGAAAAGGTTTATAACCAAAGTAAAGATATACCAAATTGGTTCACAAATTGGTGGATTTCATATGGCCCAAGTAGATATTCTCCCTGAGGAACCATTCAGGAAATTATATGGGGAATGGTTACCTGTCTCTCCAAGATACCGAAACCAAGCCATTCCTTTGAAATCAGAAGGATTAGAGGCAATATCTTCTATGCATTTTTTCATGGAATTTTCTATTCCTTGGATTTGGAAATGGTCCCCACATGTGAATTATACTCCCTCTAAATTTCCTTCTCTACAAAGGTCATACTTTACCAAATTCTGGCCTAAAATGCTTCACAGGGATCCAGAAACAAAAATTCTTAATGCCCAGGGAACAATTGACCATATCAATCAGCAAATTAAGAAATACCAAGACCAGAAAAATTTCTCGGAAATAGCCTCCTCAACAGAAAAAGCCTCCTCAACTCCTCAAAAAGTTAATCTAACTAAAGAAGAAATGATTAAGTCATTTAGGTTATACTGTTCTGAATTGAAAGAAAACCTTAAACGGTTTACAAAACAGGAAAATGTAAAAGATGAAGATTCAAGTGAAGATATTTCAGATAATATGTCCGTTGATAACCAAAGCCAGTCACAATGTTTGGCGAGGGAATCCCAGCCAGATGATGAAGAAATTCCAGAAGGAGACCTCCCCATTGATTGCATGATTGACATGATTGAGGAGTCAATCACTCAAAGAAAGAATCTTTCCAAAACCAAAAGGACATCACCACAATAGACTCAAGGTGACAGGTGGATGGACCAAAATAAAAGAGGATGATATTCTTCAGGAATTATTAAGACTGTAATATTTGTCAGATATTATTAAAGCCAGAAGAATCAAACAAAGAGTCATTTCTACTTTTATTAAAGCTGTCTGCCAATGCTAAATGTAATAATTTAGGTTTTGTTTGTTTTTGAGGCCTTCTGATCTATTTAAGAAGCCTCTTTCTTATGTTTTAGACAGGCTTGGAGCCATTTTATCTTTCTCTCTTGTAATCTCCCCCTGTAAAAAATCTTTCTGCAATAGATAGTTTGAAATAAGTTTGGAGTATCAAAGTTTTATTATACAGCAATCTGGGATACATCTTTCTGGTTAGTTTACTTCCCTATACTTCATTTTATTTTTAAGGCTAATGCAAGGCTAATTCGTTAATATCACATAGTATTCTCATGGAAGCAGTATTATGATCAGCAAATCATAATCAGATATGAGAAAAAAAAAAAAGTCTGGAGAAAGGCAAAGTCATGTTTTAGCCCGCTTTTGTAGCCACAGTGCTGTTTTAGGGCGTTTTACTCATTGACTCGCCTAACCCACCTGACTCTTTTGTTTAAAACTTTAAATAACTTTAAAGTTTACTCATATCCCGTTATGGTCCTGCTTGGTTATGAATAAATCGTCTTTCACAATAAATCATCTTTCATCTATTTACTCTGTAAATTTAAAAACCTAATCTTAGATTTTAGAATGTTACGGTAACATTAACACTACCACAAATAATATGATGAGTATCCTGTCTGGTTGAAATAGTGAAATGTATCAAAGCCCAACTTAAATGACAAGTTTTACTAAATTGTGCACGAACATCAAAATCATGACAAACGTACGAAAATTCATGAACAAAGAAAGAGCCCACGCCATATCTCTCTATGCAAGAAGCTGGAAGAACTTTCCACCGCTAAAAAATGCTGCCATTGTTAGGCAAAACCAAGACCATGATATTGACGTACTCTTCTTCTTTCACCACCCGTTTACTCGCACTCCATTCAACTTCCACTTCCACTTCTACTCGATCCACATCTTCTCCCCTTCTTCATCGATCTCCTCAGGTAGACAAAACCCTTTCTATCCCTTGCACTTTATATTAATCTGTATTGACGCCGTTTCATCGTATTGGTAATTTCTGTAATTTGTATGACATCGGTTTAGTGATTTAGGGTTTTTTTGGTTCGATTTTGAGGTACAAGTTGCGGGGTTATTGCTCTTCTAGAGTGAATAGAGGAGAATTGATGGCTAACAACATTAAAGTAGTTCAAAATCCCGATTCAATTTCTTATTTGAATCAACGAGAAGCTGCTGAAGTTGATGAGATTCTTATGGGTCCTCTTGGATTTAGCGTCGACCAGCTCATGGTTAGTGGTTTCAGAGTGAATTTACTATCCGAGATTCAAAATTTCGTTATGTTACTACACAATATGGTTAACCAAATAAGGGCAAGCCCTCGTCACAATGGCTCTTTGTGTCCACTCTCTTCTCTGCAATTGCAAAGAGACTGTTAGAGGGCGGCCCTACTAAATATGGGTTACCAGTGAGAACTATTTCTGTTATGTTTTTGTTGATATATCATATTTGCAGGAATTGGCTGGTTTGAGCGTTGCTACAGCAATTGCCGAGGTGAGTTATGGTGTTATCACATAAGAGCCTTTGGCTCAGTTTGTTAAATCAAGAACATCTTATTGATTATCTTTCTGACAGGTATACAATTTGAAGGATTACAATCGTGTATTGACAATATGTGGCCCAGGGAACAATGGTGGGGATGGTCTTGTAGTTGCTCGCCATTTGTATCACTTTGGATATAAACCGTTTGTTTGTTATCCAAAACGAACTGCAAAGCTTCTTTATACAGGTCTGGTGACTCAGGTAGAGTTGGAACTTGAACTTTCTAGAAAGGTGTATTCATCTATTTTGTCTAAATGGTTATCTGGTATCTTTTCAGCTAGAATCATTGGGTATTCCTTTCCTATCAGTGGATGATCTTCCTATGAACTTATCAGAGGACTTCAACATTCTAGTCGATGCCATGTTTGGCTTTTCATTCCATGGTAAATCATCTTCTTGTACCCCAATCTTCACTTCATTCTTGGCTTTTCAAAGAACAATGCTGTAATAATAAGAAATGAAACAAGATGCAGCATGTTATAATACACAAATAAATGAAATTACATTGCTATATTTTGCATTTAACCTGTTTTCTGTATATTTCTATCATCTTTTTTCAGGCACACCAAGGGCACCATTTGATGATCTGATTCAACGGTTGGTGAATCTACAAAATTACAATGAAATAAATAAAAAACCATCTGTGATTGCCTCTATAGACATCCCATCTGGATGGCATGTGGAAGAAGGGGATACAAATGGTGATGGAATCAAACCTGACATGTTGGTATGTTCTCATTCATATACAACATGCATTTTTTTAGTGAATACAAAAAGTTAAACATTTTTAAAACTGAAAATTATAATATATTTCAGGTTTCTTTAACTGCCCCTAAGCTGTGTGCGAAGAAGTTTTGTGGTTCCCATCATTTCTTAGGTGGGAGGTTTGTTCCACCTTCCATTGTTGACAAATTTAACCTTCATCTTCCATCATATCCTGGAAGTTGTATGTGTGTTAGAATTGGAAAGGCGCCACAAGTTGACATATCATCAATGAGAGAGAATTTATATTTCTCCTGAATTCAGAGAAGAGGAGGTGGACCCCGACCCTTTTCTTCAGGTACAACCACTGCATAATTAAATTCTATTATCTTTTAAATTATGTTATTGAAGTGTACACTAAAAGTCATTCATGTTGTAGCAATGTTTTCACAGAATAAACAGACTTATAAAATAGTGGAAAACTAATTTTAATATTATTAATTAATATCCACAGTTCCAGAAGTGGTTTGATGATGTAATGGCAGCTGGTTTGAAGGAACCTAATGCAATGGCATTGTGCACTGCTGGCAAAGATGGCAAACCGTAAGTATCTACTTCTAATGAAATTGAGATGCTGACTATTTGTCAAATACCCTAAATGCCCTTCAATAAACACAACAAGAATTTAAATGTTAATGTAAACTGACATTGGTTTTGTGATGGATGCAGTTCATCACGAATGGTGTTGCTGAAAGGATTTGATAAAGACGGTTTTGTATGGTTAGTGGCATTATTCTGTTGTAATACAAGCATTAATAATATTATTACACCAATGTACACTTTTTTTTTTTAATAGATTAATCGTGTCCACTGTAATGTTTATTATTTAGGTACACGAATTATGGAAGCCGAAAAGCCAAGGATTTATCTGAGAATGCTAATGCATCACTTCTATTCTATTGGGATGGATTGAATCGCCAGGTCAACCAACCAATTTAAAGCCTGTTTCTTTTATTTTTTTTCTTCTGGATAAATGATGGTTAAAAAATATTTACAAGAAAATGATGGAATTCTTTGTTTTTCAGGTGCGAATAGAAGGTTCTGTGCAGAAGGTTTCTGAAGAAGAATCTGAACATTACTTCCATAGTCGGCCTAGAGGAAGTCAGATTGGTGCAATAGCCAGCAAACAGGTTTTTTATTTTCTTATTTTCTGTTTCACTTTTTACTTGTTACACACTCACTCATTTACAGTCTTTTTTTTTTTTTTTTTTTTCTCAGAGCACTGTAATTCCAGGACGCGATTTTCTCCATCAAGAGTATAAAGATTTGGAAGCAAAGTTCTCTGATGGGTTAGTGATTTATATATCTGAATTTCAAGTGTCGTAAGAGTAAGACTCATTTAAATTTTGTTTTTGTTTTTATTTTTCTCAGAGCTTTAATCCCAAAACCAAAATATTGGGGTGGGTACAGGCTTAAACCTGAGTTTTTTGAGTTTTGGCAAGGACAGACATCCAGGCTGCATGATAGGTAATACTCATTGAGACCTTTAAACCAAGTATAATATTAAATCTGATATTCACTTTATTGTCAATATTCATTTCTAATCATCTATACTTAGTTAACTTGTGAAAGTAATTAAAAAATAAATAAACGTAAAAGAATAGAATAAACTACATCTGTAATTCTTATTAATAAGTTTTGTATTATTTAATTCTGGATATGACGGAAGCATCAACCTCTTAAGTTAATATAATTAGAAACCATTCAGCTATAGATTTAAATTCCTTTCTGAACTTAATCAATATAAAGACAAAGAAAAGTAGCTGTTATATGGCTTGGTATAAGGGGTAAAATGGTCAAAGTAAACAGAAAAAAAAATAAAAATAATAATAATAATCAAAGTTTACACTCATAGCCATATTCATTCATGTATTTTTTTGTTTTGGTTTCAGGTTATGTTATTTTCCTGAAGAAGTGGATGGCACAAGTGTATGGAAAATCAGACGTTTGGCTCCCTGACTATCATTCCCTTCATCATCATTATAAAATACCAAAGTAGGCCCGCTTTTCTTCTTCCTCATTATGAGAAAAAGACTTATATATTTTTTTTAAATAACATAAAAGTGCATAGATAAATACAAAAATACTAGATAATAATTCATCTAGAAATTGAATTGGGATTTATAGGTTGGAACTTAGGGTAAACAACATTAATAATGACCAAACCTGAACACTCGTGTTCCTGCTTTAAAGAGGATATTTTTTAATATTGTGTGATGAATAAAGGGTTTGCTTTATTTCCTATCAAGTCAAGTAGGCAAGGGGAAGATAGGCCAAGATTTGGAGTTTTATGTTATGGATGACCCGATTTCTTTATATAATATGTAATGTGCATGTTGAAGAAAACATGAGTCATGAGTGGGGGAGGCTGTAGGGTCCACCCATGAGGAAAACATCCTTCATGTATCTCTCCCTTTTTAATTTTTATAACTTCTTTCACCACTTGAACATGAGTTATGTCCCCTTACTTTTGTTTGATAGGGAGACAACACACACTCACACTCATTCAACATCAAGGGTTGGGGATGACTGTGAATGACTTCTTACTTCTTAGTTTAAAGATTGCATGTCTCCTCTTCTCATACTCTATAAGTCGATATTCATTCACAATTATCCAATAATATTATTACAACATCTTATTTCGCCTTGTCTTTCTGAATATGCAAATGGATGCATTACATTTTGCAACAATTACCAATATGCAAACACCATAGCTCTTTAACACTTGCTTATATTCATCATTTTTTTTTTCTTTTCAGATTCTAATGATACCTCTGAAGAAAGTGAAGGTATTTATTGGTCTCTTGAAAACCCAATTAATATAAGGTCAGGGTTGTAATCATATCTGACATGTCTGTTTGTTTGTTTTTATCCATATTCGGAATGACTGATGGTAAAAATTGGTTCATTCTATGCAACAAATTGTTTATTACTCATGTATCTTAAAATCATTTTTGTTAAAAAATAAAATAAACGTGTTAGAATAAATTATACAAAGAAAGATCCCTAGAAGGTGGTAGCGGGATACTTTTGGATGAGCTGTCATTTAAAATAGCTTTGTGATTTAAATAAATTTAAACTAGTTTTATACCTTTTGGATAATACTATTGAAATTATGTTTGTCATTTTATGATGGTCATTTCATTTCGTTTCGTGTAATTGGAATATACAAGGGATTGAAACTATGATTTTACACAAGTTAGTGGTACTTATGGGAGTTCAAGCATTTCATGTACTATTTATTTATTATTTTAGCACTACTTCGCTTTAGCTTTTGTTGTAAGAACTTGAAGTTTCATCCCACGCATCAAAATTTATGAAATCTAGTCATCGATTACGCAAAAGTATGCCTATTGATTCTTTCTTTTTCCTGCCACAGTGAAAATCATTTTTCCACTATGGACTAATTTTCGTCAAGTTACTCCTTATTTTAGTGGTCTTGCTACTATTAAACCAACTTATTAATTAATTTCTCCTTATCTAAGCGATCTCACTCTTAAAGCCAATGATGTGATATACTATGAAATAAAAAGTAGGCTTTAAAGTAGAAAAGTTGGAACAATGGGCAAAAATATCGGCACCCTACTTTAAACCTTTAAAAAATATAAGGCTTAAATACAAAGATCTATTTAACATTTATAAAAAAAATACTGTATAAAAATAGTCATCTTCTAAAGTGGCATAGGTTAAAGAGATAGCGTTCCCTTATGGGGTCAAGGGGTGGGCCAATGTAAATAGTTTGTTAGACTACGTATAGTGTGAAAACATGTCCAGAAATAACGGGTCAATTTAAAGGAACAAAATTTTAACAAGAGAAATTAAATATTTTTTTACTTTTTATTCCTACAAATCTTTCTACTTAATTAAATAATGAAATATGTAACATTTAATATTCACTTAATGATATTTTTAATATACTAATATGAAATATGTCATAATTTAATTGTGTAAGATGATTTATAGGAACAAAAGTATGAGAATATTTAATTTCTCTTTTGACAAATGTCAGAGGGAGTACTCACAGTGTAAGGTGTGGTTAGTGCCAGCTGGCAACGTACACCTGAAACAACTCCATATCGTCAGACACATTTGCTGTGGTGAAGGTCGTCATGGGATAAGGATGCACCAAAGTCTCTTTCTTTCTTTTTCTTTTGGTTACTAGTTGGATTGTCGAACTTATATATGTTTGTTAAATCGTTTTGCAAATGAAAAAAACTGATTAAAGTTTAAGAGACATTGACAGATATTCAAACTCCCGACACGGTTATATTGATATCACAAAGTTGCAAAACAGAATTTTGGCAGTCATCAAAATAATAGACATTGGTACGCCATAATACAGAGCAAACGGAAGGGAAATACATGACCATGATATCCATTACAAACTTTGTGCTGATTTGGTGGAACATATTCACAAAGCTAACGTAGAAATTGTCATCAAGGATTGGTATGATGATTTGTTCGAAGATACAAATAAAGATTTGCATTTGTTCGTTGGGGTTTGACGTGATATAGTATTTTAATTATTGTTATGTTTGGTTTTGTTTATATATATATATATATATATATATATATATATATATATATATATATATATATATATATATATAATGAAATATTTTCATTTTTATTGACTTTGTATTTATTAAAAAATTATTAATTTATTAAATTATAGTAGTTTAACGAAAACAAAGTGAGAGAAGTAAGAAGTGATCATTTCCTAAGTTTTAAAGAGTGTGAAGAAAACAAGAGAAGATAACAGAGTAAAAATGAAAGGTGAAGAAAGAATACAAACTCTATGACAATTTCAGTAATTTGGTCATTGAATTTGCAGAAATGTTTAGATTCCTATTTGAAAAAAAAAGCTCGCCTTTTGGATTCCTTAGGTGGAATTCAACTTCATAACTCCTTAAGTGAAGTCGAGGTTGTGGTGAACATTGAAGTGCCTTATGGACTTTTTAATATTTGGAAGGTGGAGCAGCTTATGAATCGGACAAACATGACTAACTGCCATGTACCTGTTTGTAATTTCGTAAAGCCATCATTTCCTCATTTTAGCCACACTAAAGATTTTTCATATTTTTGCCGCTCAAAAGTATCATCTTGTGGATTATAATATCCAATCATATGATCAAATTATCATATGACATCTAGAAAGTATTATATCAATTAGCTTTTTTTCCTCCCCGATTTCTAAAATAATATTTATTCGGTCATTGACAATAATTTCTCCACCATGGACCTAATTTTTGTCAAGCAAGGGTCATTGAAAATAATTTATTTCAGTGATCTTACTATTAAGAAAGTTAATAAATTTGCCCTTATCTAAGATTCTAAGTGATCTCACTATTAAAGACAATGATATGATATATCATGAAAAACAGGCTTTAAGTGGGAAAGTTGGAGCAACGCGCAAAAATATTCAAACCCTAGGTAAAGTAAAACCTTCGAAAAATAAGGGTTAATATTATATTAACTTGTGATTAATAGTAGAAAATAAGAAGTGTGTATCATATTCAATGATTAAAAGAAACATACATTATATTGTATTATTTACTATAATAATAAAAATACTATTTTTGGCCCTCTTTACAAGTCTTTATTATAATCTTATTTATAGAGGTGAGCAAAAACCGAACCGAAAAAATAAAAACCGACAAAACCGCAACAAACTTCAACTGAAAAACCGAAACTGATGCAAAAAACGAGGATGTGGATTTTATTTTCAAAAAAACCAAAGTTATTGGTGCAGTGCAGTTTTTATCTAGAAACCGGTCCACCAAAACCGAATCGCACCGAAGACGTATAAACAATAAACCACTAATTTATATTATATACATATGATTTAAAAGACTAATATCTACTATATGTTGAATTTGACGGTACTTAGGTTTAGCGATTAAACTTTAATAGATATACATGTGAGTATGTATAATGTATTTGAGAATCTATCTTTAATTTCTCATAAGTCATAACATTATTTAATTTTGTGTCTTTGTGTTTATGTAACCATATGTGGGAGTAGGTACAAATAGAATAGAAAAAATGAGTTTGGGGTGAAAATTAATCAACGTATACAAAATCAAACAAGTGTCAAAACCGACACCGAACCGATACCAATGAATATAAAAAAATCGCATCATATGTTTTACTCGGTTTAAAACCGACACCGAACCGATACAAACCGAAACCACATTAAAAACCGCAAAACCGAGCCATTAAAAAACCGCACCCAACGGTTTTTAAAATGCAAAAACCGCACCATACGGTTTGCGGTTCGGTTTGAACCTAAAACCGCACTAAACCGCACCATGCTCAACATTACTTATTTATGTCTAAAACTTGCTATTTTAGGTTCGTCATCTTTTCCACTAACTGAGGCTGACTTCTTACCTATACCATTGACTTCTTTTGGTATTTCTTACAAATTTGATTAGACTATAAGATTAAGGTATAATGGATATCTGTTCATTTTGTGGACAAATCACAGATCTAGAAATTGGGTCACATTCATCACGTCCACATTTTAACACTTTATTGTGGAATAATTTGCTCATTTGCCACCTTTTTCACAAGTCACTTGTTTCATGGCCATTCATTAAAAGAAAAGACCACCCCAAAAGGTGTAAAATCAACTTGTTTTAATTCTAATCCAAATCCAACAATTGGTTGTAAAAAAGGTATGAGATCCAATTATAGAATATATTGCCTTCATTGAACTAATTAAGTCAAGATAAAATCTTATCATTTACAAATATAGATGATTTGTGACAAAATGTCACATAAAACACATGCGCTCTATATATATAGGTATGCATAAATAGTCTTTCATTGAGGATATCTATTATATTGTCGTTACTATAACAAAAGATTTTCTTTTGACAATTGACACTAACCTAAAGAAGAGGATGCAAAGAGATCGTTAGTGTGAAGATCATTACATTATTCATACTTCCATTTGTCAAAAGTTAGGTTTGTGTTTTTTGTATCTATTATCAAGTTTTGGTATCTGCAATTTTCTCAAGATCATAAAGATGCCAAAACATAAAATGGTCAAGTTTTGTAACCTATCTTCTCAATTGACAAAAATAGTCTTCATCTTTTAGTTTACATGTTTATGTCCCTTTCGTTTGTACATTTAAGCTTAGTTGATTAACCTGCCTAACAGAACACGTAAGGGTATTTATGTCGTATTTTAATAGGTCGATTGTTGTCAACTTCTAAATTTTTAGTTGTCCCCGTGATAGGAGCCAAGTGGTTGAGGAGAAATTTTATACAGAAGGTCTAGGGTTTAAACCCCGACACACCTAAAATAATATTAGTGTTACACGATTAACCTCCTACGTAACTGTTCGGATGATACAATTTATATTTTTCTAAATTATCAAATGAAGGAAAATATAATAGCTTAGGTTTGTACCATATTAAATTCAACATATAAAAATGAGATCTAAATTTCTTTATAGTATGTTGTATTTGTTTAATTCAAAATCTACGAAAAAAATTATTCATAAAATGCCAAAAAATGTCGGTCACAAAGCATAACTACATATTTCTTTAAGTTATCTAATAGACATAAAAACAAACAAACAGTATTAATAAATAACATTTATCTATATTGTTTCTAAATTTCTTAATGCCTCACTTTATTGTATCTATTGCTAGCACCTAGTTAATTTATTTTTTTATCTATACGTTTTATTGATGTTCAAAAAAAAAAAAACATTTATTCTTGCCCAATCAAATCCACAGTCCGCTAAGGTTCACAAACTAATTTAATCTTATCATTAATAACAATTATCTTCTAATGAAAATTTGACAATCGTAAAAAAGAAACAAAATACTAATAAAATTGTAATTTTTATGATTTGACTTCAAACATTACGATGTGATCCAATTAAATGAAACCATGAATATACTAATTGTAACGAAATCAAAATTTAAAAGTGAATTTGTTAATTTTACTATATGGTATGGATATTTTATTATGTATCTTAATTTAATTTTAACTCGAAGAGACAAACATGTGTCACTAGCCAATCACTTGTTTTGTTGTTTTCTACTTTACCATCTCATGTATGGATGCTATGTGAATCATCACCTACTAGTCGAGTCATTTATTATATACTTTAGTCTTTATAAAAACTAAAAGGCCTCATTTATCTATACCGCTCACTACTTAATACTACCCCTTAATAATTAGCTTTTAATCATTACGTTATGAAGACACGT